GGGGGTGGGTCTTCTCAGATATTTTAAATGTTTAGTGTTTGTCCTCTGGTTGTTGGCATTTTATTTAATTTGTTATTGGATGACAATAACAAATGTTCGGTTTGCTGTTTAATTTAGAGTATTTTAGGTTTGAGCTCTGTCCGACGCTTGGATTGTTTTTCTTGCTGATGTGTGTGTGGCCCGTGTGGTCACTGGGATGCTTCTCACTATGCAAACTCAAATCCAGGGCTTCAGCATGGAGGGATGTTTAATGATGAATATTTTTGTTCAAACACGAGTTGATTCAGATGCAATTTAGAGTTGATATTGTCCGTATCACAAGGAGGTTTTTGTGCCCACGGTCCACTGGTGGTCACCAGTGGAAATGTCTAATGAATCAAACTTGTTCTGTGCGTTAAAAGCAATAATTTCCACTCTTTTTTGTTCATGCTTGAATCTTTGCTTTGATTTGGTGCTTAAACCAAAGATTGTTGCTCTTTTCTTTTCTTTTTTTATTTCTTAAATCAGGAGAGGAGAAAGGTGAATTGTAGCCAATGTTGGGTTTGACAAAGATTCCTCCCAACTGTTTTGATAGCCATGAGAAAGACTCTGCTTCCATATCTGAGTGTTTCAGAGCCGCGCAGCTCTGTGTTAAATGCCTGACCAAAAGAGACAAAGTCTGGGTCAATAAGTTGATGTTGATTGCTGTTGAAGACAATTCTTATTTCCATTTCCAGAAGCTGTGGACTACGGTCTTTCATTGCACTCATTTGGCTTCTTTGTTTAGAAAAAAAAACAACAAAAAAAGCAAAACTGGGGCAGCAAGGCGAGGTGTTGGCTGAGACAACGCGCCCCTTCTTTGTATTTATTTATTTATTTATATTTATTGTGGCTCTTCTGCTTTTGTTAGACCAAGTCCAGGGTTGAACACAGATCACAATCCACTCCTCATCCAAAAATGACAAAGAGTTGACTTGACGCTGCAGATCTCAACATCTCCCCATACCTGGACAGCTTTTTTACGGGCTGATTGTCATCTTTTGGCCACTCTTCCTTGAATGCATTCTTTGCACATTTAAGTCACCAGGTTCTGCAATAACACAGGCACATTCCATACTTTTTGGGTAGCAAAAAAGGGAACGGAGACAAAAATGGAAAAAGGGTTTGAAAACCTTTCGCGAGACCGTAACAGAAAATAAGTTTTCAGCATGCTTTTCTGTTCCTTCCTGATCATGACTAGTACTGTATGACACGTTATTGCATGGCAGTTCTCATAGATCGGCCAACGCTGTGACTAAAGGGGCCATCATCCATCGCTGACCAAAACCGTTTTGATCTTATGTTTCTTTCCGTGGCCCTGTAGGGGGAGGGGGAGGAGGTGTAATGCAACCATTAACGGCTTTAAACGACAGCAGTTGTATTTTTCTTTCCAATCCTCTTGAAACCCATGTAGCAGACTTGCTGGTCATGCCTTGCGTGCGCTATCCACTCTCTTTTCTTTCCTTTTTAACATTTTTTTTTCAAGTTATTTGCACTATGAGATTTGAGGGCTTTGGGCTTTTTCCTTTCCATTCCATTTTTTTTGTGTGTGTGTGTCTGACCTTCAATATCTTACCCATTAACTCCTTCAGTACAATTGAAATTGTGATCAAAATAGACGGTACTTCTGTAAAACTCTTATACATAACTTTCCTTCTGCATATTAGTACAGAGTAATCGCAAAATATAACATAATATATATCTATATCGGGATGAAGTTGCCTTAGATTTTTTTGTGCTGCAACTATTCTCAGGAAATCTTGAGCAATGCACTAAGTGATTATACAAAATCTAAAGTGGGAAGAAACTGGTGCTGTAGGGCGATTGACACTCTTCATGCAAGTGCAATGCCAGTAGTTTAAAACAACAAAGTTAGATTTTATAGATTTTGTACTCTAAAAAAAATACATGAAGTCAACCTATGTGTAAATAATAGTTCTGAAAGTAAACTACTGGCCTTGCTGGAACCTGTCTTACTGGAAAGGCAGTGTGGCAGTTGCTCCAGTGCATGAAGGGTGTTGTAACTCCCAGTCAGAGCTTTGTGAGTGAATGACGGTTAACTGATGCCAGCTGTGAAGTGCGTCTTTCTATTTCTCGGCTTCGGTGAAGGGACTCGGGGTGTGGTGTTAGTAGAGACCCCGCTATCAGGGATACATTTTTGTCTTTCAGTTTTTAGAAGACCTTCTCAGAGTTATGGATTCATCTTCCCATTATTTGTTTCAGTTGATGCAAAGAAAATAAAGATATATAAGCTTGCCTTTTTGTCTTGTTTGGCTGTTTTCCTGTTTTTTTTCTCAAAGGGCTTTATTGACCCTTTCAAACCTTGATAACCCAGTAGAAATTCAATATCTTTAATAACTCTTTTTCTTTTGGTCCATTCATTGAGCAGATCAGCATTCTCACGGATGGTTCGTAGGGAACAGTTCTTCAGTTTTTCTTGTTGTTAACCATGGCAGAAATTGTGGCACAATCATGTGATAAAGCAGATGTCAATGCAAAAACAAACGACTCTTAGCTGGTTTATTTTCTGGGTTCTGATGCTGTGGGTGAGGTTGTGTGGAGAAATGAAACACTAATAGACCTGTTGTTAATGGAAACGGTGGCATAAAAGTATGTCCTTTAACTCTTAGGCGTCAAAACTATTAAATCTAACGTTACTTACCACTGAGTGATATCAGAGGATAGTTTATTTTCTTTCTTTAAAAACAAAAACAAAAAGTTTCAGGTGCCGCGTACGTGCACTTCCACCTCATGCTGAGTACCTGCGTGCGCGTGCTGCTGGGACCGGATGTGACGTCATTGCTCCGCTGATCCTCTTAGCCTAATTAAGATAAACCTGCGGGCCTTCGCCTCAAGTCCCCACGCAGCGGCCCCCTTCAGCCGCCGGGCACAGAGCGCCAGGAGTCAGACGAAACTAAGGCCCAGACAAGGGGCAGCTTCGGAGTTAGAGGCGGTTCAGAGAGGGGGGATGCGCTCTGCCCCCGGCAGGATGCTGCCGCTGCTGCGGCTGCTGCCTCCGCGGATGCCGTGGGGCGCTGTGGCTCGACAGGTGGCTCCGCGCCTGACCTACAGCACGACGCCGCCGCAGGTAGGCCGCGCGAGGCCGCGCGAGGCCGGGGCCCCGCCGCCCACAGCCCCCCAGGGTCTCCGTACGGGCTGCGTGTTTGGCGGTTTACAGAAACTTGTTCTGTAGTTTTTTTTTTTGTTTGTTTCTTTTGGATGGACTTGTGACGTTTGTTCTTAATGTGAAGTGATTGATGCTGCAGGGGTCTGTTGATCTATTTTTTTTTTTTTATTTAAAAGAAAGTCAAATGTTCTACATGATTTTCTCTGTTCTTTCTGTACTGGAAGATTTCATTATGTATAAAACACAAATTAATCTGTCATAGAGCAGTTAACCACAGTTTGGATGTATCTAAGTGCGAAAAGCATTTCATGGGTTGAAATGATTTTCCCCCCTGCAGAGCAGTTTCCCGAAAAGACTATAAAGCAATGCAGTTTAGATGAAAAGATAGCGATTTTTAAAAATATTTTTCAAATACTATCAAATGTAGCATTAAACAGTTAGCATTTAATGTTATGAAATGCATAAAGACTTTATAGCATAAGGCTGAATCTGAGAAAATCTACAATTTTATCGAACCTACAGGTCTGTCCAATTTAATTCTTTATATATGTTAAAAACAGCTGAAAACCAGTTCATTTTATTGGAAACCTATTTTGGTAGAAGTGTTATTATCTCAGTAAGATAATGATTTAAAAGAGCATGGCCTTGTCCCATAAGGATCCACCTGTTGTCCATCCAGACCCGTCTCCCACAGATAACATCTGGTATGTTTTCAAAAGGGACTTGCCTTTTCGGTCTCCAGATGCTTCCAGTGTTGTTCCACTGTGTCAACTTTTTTATTTGTATGTTTCTGGTGTCAAATTCAAAAGAGGCAAATAGTCTATCAAAAACACTTAAAGATGCCTTAGTTTTAACTTATGTATTTTTGTCTTTGTGCTTTTTCAGTGCCTTCCTCAGACACACTGTGCTCTTTTTCTCTTTTCCTAGGTGAAACCTAAAAAGACTAAGTTTGGTCCCCTGAGCGACCAAGACAGAATATTTACCAACTTATATGGTCGGTATGATTGGAGGTAAGAAAAACATAAATATTTATACATGTTTATATTATCAAATGCTAACTTTCAAAATTCTTGAATTTTTGTGCTCCTCTTTTTCTCTGTTACCCGTCAGACTCAAGGGAGCACTCAAAAGAGGAGACTGGTACAAGACTAAGGAGATCATATTGAAGGGGCAGGACTGGATCCTGAATGAGGTGAAGGTCTCTGGTCTGCGGGGCAGAGGGGGTGCGGGATTCCCCACCGGCATGAAGTGGAGTTTCATGAACAAACCCAGTGATGGCAGGTGTGTCTTTGTCTGTGTCTGATCTGGCTGTAAATCGGTTGGCAGCTTAACGTTTCCCACAAACTCCCCGGTTGGCCCTCTCTTCGATGGCAGGCCCAAGTATTTGGTTGTGAATGCGGACGAGGGGGAGCCCGGGACGTGCAAGGACCGCGAGATAATGCGCCACGACCCCCATAAGCTGATCGAGGGCTGCCTGGTGGCGGGGAGAGCCATGGGAGCCCGAGCTGCGTACATCTACATCAGAGGAGAGTTTTACAACGAGTCGTCAAACCTGCAGGTACAGACGCTCCATAGATGAGCTCTGTTTTCCCTGCCTGTTGTTTGTCATGGTTATGCCTTTTTTTTTTCGCCAAATAGCTGGCCATTAATGAGGCCTACAAGGCCGGGCTGGTAGGGAAGAACGCCTGCGGCTCAGGGTTCGACTTTGATGTGTTTGTGATGCGCGGAGCTGGCGCGTACATCTGCGGAGAGGAGACCGCTCTCATCGAGTCCCTGGAAGGCAAGCAAGGGAAGCCTCGTCTCAAACCGCCTTTCCCTGCAGACATAGGTGAGGTAAACACTCCCCCCCCCCCCGTCTGCTGCATCCTCTTTCCATCAGCGCCTAATTACACAGCAGAGTCTGTCTTTGTTGTAATTCTTGGTTATTTTACTCACTGCTGTTCATTCTTCCTTCTTTTTCTCTCGTTTAAGGCGTGTTTGGTTGCCCCACCACCGTGTCTAACGTGGAGACGGTTGCCGTGGCGCCTGCCATCTGCCGTCGTGGGGGAGCTTGGTTTGCCAGCTTCGGGAGAGAGAGGAACTCGGGCACCAAGCTGTTCAATATCTCGGGTCACGTGAACACCCCGTGCACGGTGGAGGAGGAAATGTCCATTCCTCTGAGAGAGCTGATCGAGAGGCACGCAGGTGTGTGAGGGTCCACTCCACCTCTGTGGGGACGTTACTTAACTCTCCCCCTTTAGCCGTGACCATGGCTTTCTCCTCTTTGTGTGACCGGCACAGGAGGAGTGAGGGGCGGCTGGGACAATCTTTTAGGAGTGATCCCAGGCGGGTCCTCCACTCCCATCATCCCCCGACATGTTTGCGATGATGTTCTGATGGATTTCGATGACCTGGTTCGTGCAGAGACCGCCCTGGGAACTGCAGCTGTCATAGTCATGGATAAATCGGTAAAAAAAATTTTTTAAATGACTGCCATATAGCACTTAAATAAAGACAAACTGAGCAGTTAATGTTTTTGTTCTTTGCTCCAGACTGACGTGATCCGAGCCATAGCACGTTTGGTGGAGTTCTATAAGCATGAGAGCTGTGGTCAGTGCACCCCCTGCAGAGAGGGTAAGGAACTGCTGTAACACATCCACCTCCAGCTCCAGCTCAGTCTCTCTTCCAGTAGAGGCACAGACAAATGAAAAAAGATGGATGTATTCTAAGTATATCTGGCTTCTCTTAAGCCTTTTCTACTCGGATGTACATGCAGGCAAACACATAAAGTGGGGACATGTAAAAAAAATGTCCATCAAAATCCTTAATTTTTCAGCCTCGTGGACTACATAACTTTGTCAGAAAGTTATATGGGAATAACACAAACAAGCATAATTAGCAGCAGTTTGTGCCCATAAACTGTAAGGCTGTCTAAAATAATCTGATCAACCAGCTCCTGCACACACTGGTCATCTCCCAGTTTCGAAGCAATGTGACATCTTTTTAATATTTTCTTTTCATATTATTATATCGGTCCTGTGCTATATATACCGTATACATCAGTAACTGGTTGAAAGATACCCCGAATAATTGCACGAGTTTATCTGACTTTTTGTCATTTAACCTTCAAATCAATCATTCTGGCTGCGACCATTGAGTTGTTTTCATCCATTCTCAGAGTGGCCATTATTTCCATGACTTTAAATTGACAAACCTTTTGTTATTATAGTCTTATTCATACATGTGGAGCAGACTCGGTGTGCTGTGGACTGGTGCACTCGCAGTTTAGTGTACATATGGTTGGATCATCTTTTGCTGAGTGGTTTCAAAAGGAATAATAAACAGGGTTCTGTGTTGTGTTTCTTCTCTGGTGTATCAACCGTGACTGTCGTTTCTCCTTCAGGAGTGGACTGGATGGATAAAATGATGTGGAGGTTTGTGCAAGGAAACGCTGCAGTTTCAGAGATCGACATGATTTGGGAGCTCAGCAAACAGATTGAGGGACACACAATTTGTGCCCTGGGGGATGGAGCTGCCTGGCCAGTGCAGGTGACACCTCTCATCCACTTAAAAAAAAAAATCAAAGAAATGAAACCAGGCACAAGTTCTAATGTAAATCCTCTTTGGTCTTTTTTTCTTTCCACCAGGGCCTGATTCGTCACTTCCGGCCAGTCATGGAGAGCCGCATTGCTCAGTATAGCCAGGAAAACCGTCCAAGGGAGCCAGGAATTGAGATGGTCTAAAACTTAGTGCATTTCCAGAAAATAATAGTTCACAAGTATTACAAACATTATGTTCAACTTAGTTCCAAGTACGGAAAACCTTGCTGGAAAAAAAGTACAGCATCCATCATTCCAAACACTGACTAATCTGTAATGTATCTGATGTTGATTTGAAAATTATTTAATAAAGAACTGGCAGTGACAATAAAACACATCCTCAAACAGACCAATAAATTAAGTTTATTTCATAAAAGCATGAAATAAATTCTGATGGTTTACTACATATAACTCTACTATGATCTGTACAAAAGAAGAAGAGATTAGGAAAGGTTGATAAGACAGAAAACAAAAGACAAAAAGGTGCAAACAGTAGGAAAAACTGATCTAAATTAAGAAGCAAACTGATAAGTGATGTATAACATCTTCGCCCTTTGATATTTTTTCTATTTTTACAAAGACACTGTATCCAAACTTATCATCTGGTGGGATCTTTTTTCATTTATGCTAAAACAAAACAGGAGCCAAAATGTCCCTCATCTGACCCTGCATACATCCACAAAAGAGGACCCGGTTATCAGTCCCCTAATGCGAGCACAGGAGAAAAAAGGCTTTACAAAACATTGAGTATTTCCATTTGGAGCCAATGACTAAATCCTGAAACCAAAATCGTGCCTGCTGAGAATCAACCAAATGTTCAGTTTGAGTGGAGATCCTTTAAGACTCTGTGGAAAGCGTGGTTTGTTTTTTAAGGAGCCATCCAGAAAGGCATGGTCTGCTGTTGGGGCTGTGTTTTGGCACGGGGGGGTGGTGGAGGCAGGCAGCGGTAGCCCTGTGGCCAGCCTGATGAGGTGGAGGTGGGGGGAGCAGTCCCAGGGTTACCTGGCCCTGAGGCTTTGGAGATGGGGTGCTCTTCCTCTTCGTCAGACGAGTCACCGGTGTATGCCACCAAGCCCGTTTTTAGTCTTTTTGCCGACGGCTCTGAAAGAAGAAGGGGAGCAAACAGAAGAAAGACACGGGACGGACATTTTGGAGAAGAGAGGAGAGAGAAACACCAGACAGCAGCAGCGACACATCAGATGCAGCGGGTTCAAGTGAATTATGCCAAACACATTTTTGGGGAGAAAAATAGTTAATGGATTCAGATCAAAGTTTATGTCAGCAGAGGGGGGTGGGGAGTGGCAGCCATTGGTTGGTAGGGAACCATAGGGTTGAGGCCGTTTAATCGAGCGGCAGGGCGGCGTCACGGGACGAGTCATGCCCCACCCCCAATCAGAATCCAGCATCAGCCCAGGAACATGGAAGAGAAGAAAAACACAGAGAAAAAGAGAAAAACACAAAAACAGGAGAGATTCTTGTTAGTGAGGAAGACAAAACAGCACACAGTCCAGACTGATGATGTCATCAGAATGCAACGGAAAGGTGGAATTAATGTATCGGGTGACCGATAAATGCACAACGGGTATCAGGTCACAGCTCCGCCTCACTATCTGGAGACTTCAAGTCCCACCAGCAGAATCCTGCATCAATCATGGGGAGCAGCCGGTTCCAGGTCAAGTCTCTTTTTCAGCCCGAATGGGTTTGTGTGACACATACATCGCTTCCAAAATCCCCACTAGCACCACAAAAGTTAAGACAGTCTAGTGGTCCAGGAGTGTGTTTGCAATTACACACTTTTATCTTTGCGTCTCTGTGCTGCTTCAAAGAATAAACCAAAGCTACTCCTCTAAAGAATCACGGCCATGAACTGCGGAGTTGACAAGCCACAGGATATGGGCCTTACCCACAGGGCCTTGCAATGCCCTCCTCTCCTCCATCTTGGGTCTCACTCCGTTAACGTGCAGAGATGGTGGTGGAGGCATTAGCTGCCTACTGGAAAATAAACAAAACAAAGAGAGTGTCAGCTGAGCGTGCCCTCTGACCCACACACAGGACCCGTTTTAACTATTAGAAGCAAAAGCGACTACCTGTCCCTCTCACTCGCCGGGCCGGAGGGACTCTGTTGTGCGGGTCCTGCAGTCTCTGGGCTGCCCACTGAGAAGCCTGCACCTAAATTAGTCATATGAATGGGTCCATGCTATGAGCAGAAAAACACACAGTCCCGATTAGCAGACATCCTCCTCTAAGCCCTGCTCTGACATTTTAATATTAAATATTAAACCTGTCCCAATACCAGAATAAATAGAAATTCCAGATTCTGATCAAAATTAAATTTTTCCCCCTTTTTTCTGATGCAATACCTTTCACTGAATCTCCACATTACCAGTAGGAACTCATGGCTAAACTGTAAGTGAGCGTCATCAGCAGACAGCAGGCCATACCACCTCAATTATGGAACGCAAGACATTAAAAGGAAGTGAGGATGAAATGTTAAGCAAAAAAACGCAGACAATGAATCCAGAGTGTAGGCTGAAAAGGTCTTTGATGATTGGCTGATGTCGGAGACTTGACATGAACAGCCATCAGGTGAAAAAATTAACACAAAAAGGGGGAATCAAATCAAAAGGGACACACAAACAACATAAGGGAATGATGGGGCGGGGGGTTATGTGTGGCGGAGTTATTCATCACCTGGTATCCAAGTAGGCCCCTGTCCCTCTCGTCTGGAACTTCCTCTGTGAAGCGTCTTTTCTGCGGTGGGTTGGCTGGAGCAGCAGGAGGTGCAGCTTTGGGCGGTGCTGCAGCAGACAGAGGAGGAAAGTGTGCCGGAGGAAGCGTCTGCAAAATCAAAGCAAATCAACCAGTCATCTCTTTGTTTGTGTCTACTGTTTATAAAGAGCTCCACAAAAGTATTTAGCAACCCGTCATATTTATTTTTCCATCGAGACAGTGCTGAACCCTCGGAAAATGTTTTTTTTGTTATAGCCACTTAACACTGACCATTGACTGGGCACCTATTCCTTAAACATTGGAGGAAGCTGGACACATGGAGGACAAAAGTGTCCAGTCTAGTTTTTAATGAAACAGCAAAAGACAGAACATGTTTGTAAAGGTTGCTCTTTTGGAGGGCATTTCTAGCAAGTGTGTGTCAGGGACAGAGAGGAAGTCAAACAGACCTTACATAATAGTGAAGAACTTAGTGATGCCTACCTGGGGCAGAGTATCTGGAGCAGGAGCTGGAGCACGTGCCACAGAGGGAACGGGGGCAGGAACGGGAGCAGGGACAGGAGTGTGAGCGGGGGCCGGGGCCGGGCGTAGCGGGTACTGGGACGGCACACCTGCAGGTGCCACAGGGGTTATGGGAGGTGGCACCGCATACGGTGGAGGAACAGGCTGGGGCTGGGCTGGGGGAACAGGCAGGGGGTAGCCAGGCTGGTATCCAGTGGTGGGGTAGTAAGGAGGTTGGGGAGGTATCCCATTCACTACTGGAGGCTGTGCGAAGCCTGGCAGCAGAGGAGGAGGACAAGATATTAACACAGGCTGTTGCACTCCATTTTTTCAGTCCAAATACAACAAAATTGTCTGTGTTACTGCTTAATTTCATGTGTTCTTTTCATATGAAAATACGAGCCGTGTTGTACCTTGTTGCGTTGGCATCATCGTGCTCATTTGATTAAGATATCGAGAATACTCCGCATGGACCTGAGAGGAGAGAAACATTTAGATAAATATTCCATGTTGTACGAAAGGCATCGCCACATTATGAGACAACAAAAATGATTGAGTGCCCCCTGTAGCCTTTACGCCGTCCTGCAAGCTATTCAAGTTGCTTTAAATGAAGATTCCACTTCCGCCAACGTCTCCAGACGTCATTGAAGAGTACACATTTTTTATCTCTGCACAACATCTGCAGAGTCTCTAAAAAGTGATTTTGTTTTGTTTTTTCTTTGGTCTGAACTTTGCCAGTTTTCAATAGAAATGACTCACCGTCTGAAGCAGATTCTCACACAAGGTTTTAGCTGCTGCGAGTCCCTCTGGTTTAGGGTGACTGAAAAGGAAATCAGCATTCAGCAGTTAGTTTCATGGTGTCAAAACGGCGTAGGAAAAAAGACAGCTACGTACTTCAGAATGTGTAGACAATTTAAATTTTGCATTTAATACATCAGAAGTCAGCACCTACCTAATGTAAATGTACATTGGTTCAAAGGCCTCGCGCCCAGACGCAGGCTCTAAACAGCCTGATCCTTTTCCTCTGAGGAAGACTTTGGCTCCAGTTTCTGCCTGAATGTGCTGCAGGTATGAACACCCAGGGCCCTCCACTCGCTCTTTGACCACAAACCCTGGAATAGCATGCTCCAGGCCCACAAAAACCTTATCTTGGACATAATGCATCTGAGAAACAGTGAGGAAAACAGGGTTTGTTTGTAAATGGCAGCATGCCGAAAATAGCATCTGACTGTCAGCAAGCGATAGCAGCTTTGTGTCTCCACATTGAACCAAAATAGTTTGTAGATGAGTTGTAGAATTTTAATCCAGACGATGGGCCTTTTCCATCATGATTCTAAATGTCTTGCTAAGACACATACGGAAATTTCCTATAAAAGTGTTTTTTTTTATTATAGTCGTTACTTTTTGGGTTAAGATCTAAGTAGCTTAATTTGGTAACAAATATTTAGGAAGTCAGGCCCATCAAAGATTACAATAAGGTCTTGAAACATCAACTGTCTTACCCCTGATTGGAAGTGAGGTTTGTGGTTGTTCACTGGGGGCAGCGTGGGTGGAGGTGGGTTGTGTTGGTGGTACACTGTGACTGAGGCCCCGCCCGGTGAGAAAGATGAGGCGGATGATGAAGCCGTTGCAGCTTTTACTACACCGTTGGTGATTATTTCTTTAATTCTATTGACAGCTCCTGGAGAAAAAGGGAAAGAGACAATTAGTGCAAGTTTAAGCCTGTATCAACACAAACTTTCACCATGGCAGGTTTATAAGAGCACTGACTGTCGACAAGCTCCCGTGTCTGTCCTTGGACGTGCAAGTAAAGAGGTCGATCCCTGTGTGGAAAATCCCAAAAGAAAGTCAAGTTAGCATGAATAACTACTAGTTTTAGGGTCGATTACTGATAGTGAAGTGAACTGAGAAGTCACCCTGGAAGTGCTTTGCCCTTCTCCTCGGCTGCCATGTAGCGCCCTCTGGTTGAGACCGCTGCGCCGCTCACTTTACTGATCTGAAGACAAGTCACATGTCAGGAACAAAACATTTCAGAAAATAATCCACAAATTAGGAAGGGAAATATGTTAGGCCGTCTTGCTGCTGACCTCATCTTGCGTTTGCCCCCGGGTCAGCAGGTTTCGACAGGTGATTGGGACATCATTGATCTCCACTTCTGCTACAACCAAGTCATCTTTAGCTTTTGGAGGCACTGAAGGCTTTCCACCGCCCAAAACCTGCGAGAGCAAGAACAGCGATGGAAAATATTGGGACCATTTTGGAATTTGATTCATCAATTCACTTTGGATATATAGTAGGTTATTTAAAAATAAAAGTTGATTTATTCCTTTAAGAAGAAACCAGGAGCAGCATGTTAGTGAATAAGCTATACTGTGTCCAGTGTTCACTGCAATTTGAGCATTTTATTCATGCACTGGTGTGCAACCACGCCTCTTTACAGCTTATCAGATGCAACAATCCTGTTTCCTTTGGGCATTGTATTTGCGCAAGTTGTGCAATTACACAGCGTAACCAGTCACAACCGTGTTCTGGATTCATCTCTGGAGGCATCCACCTCTGCTTTAATGATTCACCACAAACTATTTTCAAGGCAGCATGTACATGCATGCATTTGTGACAACCATGAAGCGAAGCGCTTGCAGTCGACACACTCTCACTGCATGTGTTAAACTCGCTCCTGGAAACATTATCCAAACAGGAAACAAAACTTTGTGGACATGTAAACATTAGTGTGTGAGTACAGAACAGGGCACACTTTTCACATCTTTCAGCTTTACATTTCACTAAAGATAATTTTTCAAAGGTTATCTCTTATGACATAAAATCAACATCTCTGACACTACACTTCTTCAAGTTTTGGACCAGAATTTTAATATAATACTAATATTCTAGAAAATATTGACACAATAAGTCTAACAAGCCCAGTTACCTGATTTGCAATGTAACCTTAGACAATCAGAGAAAACAGCCACTATATAAAATGTGCACTGTGACAATGGGACACCGTAAAACTGCTAAGGAAGAGTCAGCCTCAAAACTGTAGATGTCAGTCTGTAGGGATTTGATTCTATCTATGTTAAGCAAGCCCAATCTACAGAGCCCAAAAGGTTTGATAATGTCCTGGTACATTTGTGGCAGCTGAGAGACTCCCTGCAGTTCATTTCTATAAAATCATTTTTTCCATATATCAGACCAAAAGCTAAAAGTGGAAAACCTAGACCTCCAGAATAAGTAGGTCTTGATCCACTTCTTTTGGGTCACTCAGGAGAGGCAGAGGTTAGAGAACTGACTGAAATACAGGACTACATTTTTCACTGGGCAAAACTGGTACATTAATTATATTTATATCTACAGTGTGTTTGTCTGTAACAATACGTCAGATAGCCATAAATTCTAAACTAAATCAAATAAATGCTTAACCGATTACGCAGCTCTATCCCCAACACTGTCATGCCTGGTTAATGATCCTGGTTCAGGGTATTTATGCGTTTGAAACCTCCTTGACCAAGCACCGCACATCTGCTAATAGTCTTAAACGATCCTTTACATCAGGGTTCATTACCTTCTCAGCTGGTCCAGGGATGCCTATCTGTGAGGGTTTGAGTTTGCCTTTGGCCACCAACATGGCGTTGATCTTGGCAGCCACGGCGGCTGCAGCATCCAGAGCCCCGGTGGGCGCAGCCTCCGCCTCCCCCATCCCGCTGGAGCCAGAGCCGGGGCCCGGCTGGTCCCATTTACTGCGGCGCCTGGGACGGCAGCAAGAAATACAAATAAGACTGACTAAATTAATGATGGGATTCATTTCTCGTGCTTTTGCAGGTTTAACTCGAGACCGCGAAACCAACACTGCTGTTGTTGACGTTTCGGAGACTCACACGCTAGCCTCGATAGCTGAGCCTATTATTCGTTTGTTTGTTACCCCAGTAATAGGCAACACATGCGCACCGTGACCGTTAATGTTTTACTTATTGCACAGCACTTGTTTTTTTTCGTTTAACAGCAGGTTAACTAGCGTGAGCCTTAACAGCAGCTCAAAACAACACAGCCATGATTACATAAGACGGCTAACGCTAACCAGCTACCTGAAAGCATTTGGACGACGTCTAAAAAAATGAGAAAATATGTCACCAGCTCGCTTGAATACATACCCGCTATTTTGCGTTCCACAAAATGACATTAATATTCCGTCAAATCGATGTTCTCCCCCAAAAGTAAAAAATAAATGTGGGAAAAGCACCCTGACTTCTGCAACACTTGTTCTGTAGGCGGTGCTGCTAGCCTCTGCTCAGTTTCCCATTTCCGCTTCCGGTCCGGTAAATGCCGCATGTCGACCACAATATAAACACAAGATGGTGCCCGACACCATCACATGTTTAGTTTAAAAAAAAGAAAAAGAAGAAGAAGTTTCAGTCAGATGTTGTCTGACCTGACCCATCTGTCAACACTTTTGTGCCACACTTGGCCACTTTCTCCAGAGGAGGGTTCACAGTTTCCAGTGGAGAAGAAAGCATTGTGCTGCCGGGCAGGGATCATCAGGTGAGTTTCAATTGCTGTGATCATCTTAAAATGATGTTTACATTTCTTACAAGTTTAATTCCTGCATTGATTTTATTTTAGTTATTTTATTTTACTTTGATTGAACACAGGTGGGGAGTTTTGCTCCCAATTTGGCTGAACTTTCTTTCATTTTAATATGAGTGTATGATGGCTTTATAGAAACTGAATGAGAAACACTTAATTCAAACTGAGTGGGTATCTGCCTGGGACATCAGTTTAATCTGCAAAACTTAACAAATTTGTGCAAATTCCTCAGAGAGGTGAAGTTGTCAGGGTTAAAGTCACTGATCATTTCACAAATTTCTTTAAAAAGCATTTTTCTAATGAATGTGGCCAACTTCAACAATCTTCTGACATTTTTGTTGAATGAAAATTAATTTATTTACTGCAAAGAAGTTACAGACATAATCTTTCAACTGAGCTTGGATAGATGGTGTCAGAGCTGCAGGTGTTGAGTGTGAGACTCGGACCCAGAGGCTGATGAGCGTAATGTCCTGCACAGGTTGCTGGCATCAGGCTCGCTAGCTCCCAGCCTCTGCTGGTATCTTGGGTTACTCCAAGTCACTCTGGCAAGTGTTAATTCCAACCCCCCGGGGGGCGCTGAGACCAGGAGGTGCAGGTTACTCTGGAAGGTGAGAATGCTGTGTGGGGGCTATATGGATCACCAGATTGAACAACCAGCAGCTCTGGTTTAATTCATTTTATTATGTGTTGTAGAGTGTTGAAAGACAACTTTCAAACTAAACTCTGCTTTCTGGGCTTTGATTAGGATCATGATCTGTTGTGTACATAATAGTTTTTTTACAGGCTGTGCATTAGTTGGCCAAAATGCCTTTTCTGTAAGACTTATTATTTAAAAAAAAAAATTGAGATTGGATGTAATTGCCATCAGTTCTTTTTAAGTATGCAAAAACACTTTAATATGTATAAATCTGATATATCATTATAGTGATTTTTATTAATTGCATTATCACTATCAAATCCATCATTTAAGGATTGAGTAAACCACCTTTCTTCTACTGATATGTTTTATCTGCCAGCTGAGCAGAGCTGTGCGCAGAGCTGAGCCATCAGGTGTCCTCCCTGCTAGGGACACGGTTACTGGGATGGGTCAGTTACTGAGCCACCCGAGCTTGAAGTACAGTCGCAGCAAAGACAGACGAGTGGAAGAACATGTTGTGTAACATGCTGCTGACACAATGCAGACATTTCAGAACACTTTAGTGTGCCAGGCATCATGTTTTTAGGAGGACAGTCTGAATGGAGCTGATGAATAATTGGTGAGCAGAGAAAGGTCTGAATGCCTCAATGAAAACATTTTCCACTAAGAGTTGATGTTGATTAATGATGTTCACCTGACTGTAGCTACAGTATCTCTAACTCTTCTGCTTTGTTACAATTATTTTGTTATATTCCTTCTATACTTTTTCTGCTGAGCCAGAAATAAGAATGTAGAAAAAAAGTCTTACATTTTCCAGAGCCAACCAAAAAAGGACAATCATTAGACATCCAGAAAACTTTATTCAGTTCAATCATATGACTGAAATACATTGTTGCTTTGTTATGATGTATGATTTCCTATAAAAAAACTCTAAAAGATTAAACATATTTAATATTAATATTTTAATAATTAAAAGGCTAAACTGTAAAGCAGTGTGTCATATTTTATCAACATTTGAAATGTGTTCCTGTAAAACTGTTTAGTCATTTTATCTTTGCAAATACTCAGTCCTCTTTGATTTAATTTCTCCTACAGGTGGCACTCTAACTCTACCTTTGCCATTTTCACACTATTCCTTTTTTAACCTCAGTGATTATTATTTCATTTAATTCAATCTATCAATATACTCAATTGATTAATCTGATTGTTACCCGTTGGTACATATCCATTTAAAGCCTATGTCTGATTCAATGAAATCTGTGGTAGCTGTACCTTTTTGTAATTGTTAAATGATCAAAATTGAACTTTTACTGTAACATTTTTTGAAGAAAGTTACAAGGGAAAAAGAAGCCAACAACCCATTCAACAAGTTCAGATTGCAATAGAACAAGCTGTGATGTTTGTCTCCAAAATATTCTAGTAAAACAGTTTAAATAATGTGATGTGTTTTTTAAGAACATATTTTCATAAAGGTTATATCATGTATGTTATATTGTCATAACATGAGGTAATATAAATCTTTGCTTCCATGTTACGTTTAACTATCTAAAACAAAATTACAACAGAACCAAAAGACGTTCACCTCTGTTGTTAAAGTCCTGAAGTCGCATATTTACACGAACCCCAACTAAGACTCAAAGCGGGAAGCTTCTTGCTGTGAGGCAACAGTTCTGACCACCCCACCAATAAACAGCCTGCTCAAATTTATGCCTTCAAAATATTCTGGTCACTCAAGACAAAGGGAAAGCTGCAAACATTGACATTTTTAGGAGCAGGATGTACAGGCGCTTGATGAATTAAAGGAAAGACTTGACTCCTGACCCCAGCAGTGAGGGTATCTGCTGGCTTTATGGGCTGGTTGTAGCTTTGAGGGAGCGATCACTCCAAAATTCTAAAGTAATTCAGAATATTGACACATACGTATCATAATAGCAATGTTTTCTTGTGTGATGATTCTTTGTATAGCAGAGCTTGTGAGTCTCTGGGTCTGATGTGTGCGCCTCTGTCATTAGAAGACAAAAGGACCCTCCTTCTCCGTTCATTCCCCCCAGCCCGGACCTCTGAGCAGGGTCGAAAAGTTTCATGGTGTTCTTCTTCTGTGGGGCTCGTGTGAGCGCCGTGTCAGAGGTCAGCAGATCTTTGACGCCTGCTTTGACAGGGACGACTATTTACAGGAAGGTTTTCTGGGAGCTGCAAAGCTCAGAGAAGCGGCGGGGGGAGAGTTAGCACGGAGGGCAGACTGCAGTAAGAGCCCAAGTGTGAACCGGGATGTGTATGTCGGTTGGTGTAACCTCCGGCCTTCGAGGCACGCACACCGAGGTCGCGCCTGATCCTGGCGGCTGACACCCAGATGGGAGATCAGGGGATGAGATGGGCGGAGGGCTTGCCAGGGGGTGAACAAAGAGACACTGTCCAGTACCTGGGTTTCAGAGTTTGCTGTCAAACCAGCGATTACAAGCAGTGTTTTTATAATGTGGCTTTTTGTGTCGTATGTGTGGCTTCGTAAACCCGAATAGGAGTGTGTGATTTCGGCTGCTGTGATCTGGATGTTTTGAAAAGTCTGCGATGTCCTCAAAACCTCCGAGAGCTCACCGTGGAGGTGAGCCCATGCAGAGGAATGAAAGCGTAGGCAGAAAGCGTAAAGGAGACAAGAAGTGATTGAGAGAAGGAAAACAGATGGGGAGATTGAATTTTAGAGGAGTGAAGGCAGAGCAAGAGGAGGGGGGGGGGGGTCTTTTTTGTGTATGTCTAGAGAGAATGGGAGCCTCTTATACACCTCACAGCGTGAATTTGGCCTGAGCTGTGGCCTCGTCTCGTCTGCGCAGCAGGGTGCTTTCCTGAGCGGGCTGCCCAGGGGAGGGGCACCTGCAGCAGCCCCAAACACTGGTCAGGAGGATGGGCCTGATGGGCGGAGTGAGGGGGGACTGGGATGGAAAGATGGTTGGCGGTTCCAGGAAACTGACATGTGCTGGAGTTATGAAATCCTCAGGTAGAACACAGCCACGCTCTCTAAAGAAAATATTTGTCCTCACGTTTCCCTGTGGCCTTGAGAGGAAGACGCTGCCTGTACTCTCAGGATGAAATCGAAAGCTTCTGTCGGAGGGGAGGACAAAGGTTGTTATTGGAGCAAGTCAGCCGGTGCTGGCAAAAACCAACCAAACACAACATGAAGTTTATAGATCGGCCAGCCTGCCAACTGAGACAATATTTTCCATCCATTTTGTTTGGTTGACCAAACTCTGTGTATTCAAAGTTTATCAAACACTCAGTCATCCCTGCAGACCTGAGGGAGGACTTAATCATCTGAAATATTGAGTTTTAGCATACGTAGACATCCAAAACCTCTCCACTGTGGAGACTCAGAATATCGGACAAGTCACCCTCTCTCTTCTTTAATATCCCCATAACTACTAAGTGTAGTTTTTGGATAAGTTTCGCCTTTACATAAGCAGCACCCTCCATCTTCTGTCATTTTGGTATTACCCAGGGGTCCAAAAATCACTCCGGCTCCTATGAAGGCGTATGATTTCAAAGGTATCTGGCTCTTTGTCAGCAAGAAATTCCATTTAAATGGACAAATGTGCCGTGTGAGTCTCAGCTGTCTGGGAAAGGTGGATGGATATTGCATTAACTGCACAACAGAAGCACCCCCTGTGGCGTGCCTGCACATGGCTGTGGATAATAACTGCAGTGGGAACGTTATGCTCAGAGGTAACCAAGCCAAGTAAATGGAAACACATGGTAGGTAGCCTGAACTGGAGAAGCGCGCAAGCTCCTTTGACAGATGCTTTTAGTATGAGTCCCCTCAACCTGTCACCGCTTCCCGGCTTCTCGTGCAGCCCTGAGATTTTCTGTTCCTCATTTAATTTACTTACAGCACACGCATGATCCTAATGTGCAAAATAAGTACACTCTGAGCCGAAAGTTAACACAATTAAAAGGCTCCTTTTACGTTTTAAGAGGAAATCACTTAAATGATCCAGTACCTGGGGATTACATAATCAGCAGGTTATTGAATGTCTAGTCAAAACACAGTAAACCACGGTGAGTAGATTTCAGTGGGCCTTCTGTGTGATTTGAGTGGAGAAAGAAAAACACCATCAAAATATGGAATTACCACTCTAGGAGGGCGCTCATTTCACTGTTTTATAACGTAGGAAAAAATATCACAGAAATGACACCACTTCGTTTAACAGCCTTTATTATGACTCTGGTGGTGGTGTGCTCCATATGCTGGAAAATATGGAGTACACCACTTTGATCAATTACTGCCCTTTTGTATTCAGAACAGGAAGCAGATTTCTTTTTTAAAGAATTGGAAGTCCTTTTTTTTTACTTTTTCTGGCTAAATTGACAGCTTGAATTCTTAGTGACATTGGGCTCATCTTTTTATTACAGTTGACATATCAGCTACGCATGATGGAGTCTTTTCTTGTTCAGAAGAAGAAAGAGGTAAAAGCATGTAAAAGCCTTTTACCTGTGTCAAGATCACAGAATTGCTTTATTCAACCAGTCATCTTTACATGTTTGACAGTTATCAAACAAAAGTTCAGCATGGTTTCAGTGCAGATTGTATATTAATAACTGAGGATCACTTTCGTCCTTTCACACACAGTTTGTGAGCTCCTCTTCAGCCGACTCAAGTCTGCTTCTCTTTATTTACTAATTTACTATTTTACAGTTTGATCAAAAATATCAAACCCAAGTCCTTTTTCATGTCTTTTGCTGTGTGTTTTCTCTTTCATACCCACTGCTTTCTTTTTTTTCTCTTGAACCAACAACGAAATTCAAGATCGGTGGTTCCTCTCAATGTGCTCTTCCTGTCACGCCGGACAGCTTATCTGTGTTTTTTGGTTTATTGTTCAAGATTGCAGCTTTTAGGCTTTGCGTCATTGCATTTCATTAGTTGTCTTTGGTTTAGTCTCAGAGTTCCTTCAGGTTTCTTAAACTGATTTATATTTTTATAAAGAGCCTATAAATCTTCAGTGGACACATCACCCAGAGCTGCATGCAAACATGCTGTCATTTTTGGTGATCACACGACAAAAAAATAGCATCATCAATTACACCTTCTGAGTCAGTTTGAAGCTGATGTTATAGGTTAGATTTCAGCTAGAAATTGCTTGTTAAACTCGAGATGCATATTATTTTGTCACATCGTTTTTGTCTGTATTTTGTCTTGACTGCATCATGACAACCGTGTTTCTCTCATATGTATAATGAGCAGTAAAAGACAGACTGATGGAGAATAATTACCCACCGGACTTCAACCTAGGATCATGTAAGCAGGGTTTTAAACCCTTTGGCCTCGACTCCAAAAAACACCCATCCAAAAGCTGTGCTTCTAGCCATGCTCAAGCAACAGCACCTCAGCCCATTTGTCCTATCATCCCATCCCCTTCTCCACTCCTCTCCGTCAAACAACAATATTTGCTCATCTGCGTCAAAGAGCAGCTGGGTTTGCGATACAGTACAGTGCAGCCTTTGAGCCGGACAGACAGAGACAGGCCTTTGCAAATGGAGAAGACCCTCCTGAGTCACACACATGCTGACACAGACACACAAACAAAAGTATGACGGCATCTCAGAGGTTCCCGCTCACTACTTAAATCTTTAGGAGAAAAAAAAAAGAAGTTTTTCTTCTTTTTTTTTACCATTATAAGGATACTGTCATCAGAGTTGGTTTAAACAGAACAGTTTTTTGTCTTTAAAGATCAGATGACACGACTACAGAAAGCATACTCTTTATTTAAGACTATATTTTATACAGTAATATAAACTCCCGTTACAGTCATCACCAGTAAAGGCCGTGTTAAGCATAGCATTATTCAAACAATTCAAACAAGTTTTTTATTTTCCAAACCTCGCATGCAGTTTGAGATTATACAAAAGTCCTGTTTTTCTTAGCTATGTATGTAGCAGAAGAGTTTCAGGGTTTCACTGGAAATGCTTTTCCGTGCACAATATGTGGCCTTAACTGTGTTCATTTTATATTTCTGCTGTCTGCTACTAAATAAACCAGCCATCTCCATTATTTGGTTGAAAGGCTTCACAGATGTGATTATATGCAGTTGTCAAAAGCAATTTAACAATTGTCACAGAGGCTATACTTTCTAAACCTTATTGCTGCTGAATTATTTCACTGAAGTAATCTTTAATGTTTGGAATATTTGGCATTGACATTCATTAAGTAAGAAATCCTGAACAGATTGTCATTTTATGCTGGTAAACCCAAATATGTTTAAATATTAATCTCCTATGAGGAAATATGGTATTCTTCCAAAGTGCTATAGTTTGTTCAGAATTCTTATATTGCTCAGTTTGCTGGCTATGGCTAAGTCGATGCCCTGATGCCTGTTGGGGCCTTATCACACGTGTGTGTGTGTCGTGTTAAAGGCTCCTACATGTGCAAACTCCCATTGTTGTCCCTTCTGTTGGAGAGGAGCAGACGCTACTTCAGCGGGCTGCTCTTGCGGCAGAGCTGATTTGCTGACACAAGCGCCTGCCGGTTGCGTTTTCTTTTCCCAGTCAGTAGCGTGTAAAAAAACGGATTCACGCAGGAGTTCCCATAAGTGAGCCCTGTGAGGATTCGATTCACCGTCACCTGGGTGCCCACCGGTACCGTCCGCAGCATGTCGGGCTGGTAGAGGGGGAGCAGTTGCCAGATCCAGAAAGGGAGGAAGCAGGCCCAAAATGCAAGGACAATACACAGGATGAGGAGCAGCACTTTGGGTTTGGGTGCGCGAGGAGAGCAAGCCGAGTTGCTCTCACTGGCCCAGGCGGGCCGGGTCTGGGACACCCAGTAAAGCCGTCCGAGGGTGGCGTAAAGGGCCCCGATGGCCAGCCCGGGGCCGAGAATGCTAGTGCAGAAAAGCACGCTGAGATAAGCCTTGGAGCTTTGCTCGTCCCACGCCGGGACGCACAGCTGGCCCTCGTGGTTCTCCCCGTCCTCGAGGTGCAGGGTGATCATCATGGGCAGGCTGAGCGCCACCGCCAGCCCCCAGGCCAGGCCCACCCGCAGCAGGCTGGAGGAGTTGGAGGAGGAGGTCTGGAGCGGACGCGCCACAGCCCGGTAACGGTCCAGGCTCATGGCGGTGAGGGTGAAGATGGAGGCGTGCATGGTGAGGAGGTCCAGGCTCAGGAGAAGGCGGCAACCCAGCTCCCCGAAGGCCCAGCCAGATGCCAGGCTGTCGTACACGATGAAGGGGGCAGTGAAAAGGTAGAGCAGGTCGGCCAGAGCAAGACTCAGCACCTGGAGGTGAAGAGAGGAGGAGGAGGGAGAGGAGGAAGGGGAGGAGGTGGGGGACGCGGAGTTCGCAAGGCAGGACGGTAGAGGTATTTTTGTTAGGCAGCAGACGGGCCCTGCTCCACGCCTTCTTCTGCCACTGCTGCGTCTCAGAAGGAGACCCAAAGTGTAAAGGTTCCCCGTGATGCCCAGCAGGGAGAGGAGAGAGAGGAGGGAGCAAAACAGAGCAGTGGACGCCAGGCTGGGGGACGGAGAGATGGAGGGAGAGGAGGAAGGTACCGAGAAATTAGGAAAAATAGGGAAGGTGTATGGAGAGGGTGGAGGCAAAGAACCTGACAGGTCCATGATGGGAAAAGTTAAAAAGGTTTATAGATCAGAGGTGATATCAGACTATTTAAAAAAAATTAGGATGCAGAGGGGGCAAAGGGGTATAAAGCGAATAGGAGAGAGACAGATGGAGAGAGCAAAACATAAGTGTTAGTTTTCTCTCACTACTTTTGCTTTTTTAGGAGATATAACTTGACACAAGAAGAATAAAAACCACGTTCAGAAGGTGCTGCCTTGTGATTTATGTGCGTTGAAATCGTCACAGCACAAAAATAAATAAAGTCAATTAAACACGTTTAAATGAAAATGTCAGCTAAACCAGGATCGTTTTTGTTCCAGCAGAAACCTGCTCTTGTTGGCACAGTCATTGCAGTTTTATGGCTTCACAGGGAGCCCAACGACGCAGTTTTGGTTGTAGTAAAAGTAATTCGATTTTCGGGGATGTTCCAATTGAAGACTGTAAATCTCCCCCGAAGCTACCATCTTAAGGTTCGATAACAATTAACCTAAGCAAAAAAAGGATACAAATTTAGGGTATCAGGGCAGATGTATCTTTAAAGTTGAATCGAGCAAGGCTGTAATAAATGTCCTCGTTTTTGTTTAGATTTCTGGTGCCATGTGCGCTTTTGCGCACTGGTGGTTTGGAGGTGGATTGATGCGTAAAAATCTGCCGACTCACGACGCGGCCGAGATGAAGTTTGGCGCTTTGTCCTTGGAAAAAGTAACGTTTCTACCCTTTACTTGTTTCGCGAGACAAGGTTAACGTGTTGCCCTCAGAAGTGTTTATATTCTGGGGGAGAATAATCTGAACCGACATCAAAGGAGAGGCTGACAGTGACCCGGGCGGCACAGGGGTTAAGAGCTACTGTTGAACTCTGGAGAAGCAGCCGTTCCCCCTGCGGTGTTCCACGCACACCGAGGCTCCTTCAACTCGCACCAGTATTAATCACAGGGCAACAGTTAGCAGCCTAATAACGAATGTCTTTATAAACTGCAACATTTCACAATTGCGCAAAAGCATGCAAGCTTACGCGGTTATTATTTCACCAATAAATAAATAAAAATATGAAAGATGTGTACTGTAAAAGCACTAAAAGCTTTAAGGCCGCACTAAAGTTAATAATGTTACATTCTTATAACCTATTTAGTGGTTAAGATCACAATTTTACCCGGTCAGAAAAGGAAAAAAAGACAATTATTGCAAGTAAAAGGACGTAAACACTAAAGCTAGTTTAATTCTAATGGAGTCCTATTAATCTGTTTAATCTCATGCAATGATTTAGCTCTATTTAAACTTACTTTTAGATCAATTTAATCCCAGATGCTAAAAAAACAAAACAATATTCCTCAGAGTGGCAGCATGAAAAACGTCAGTTCTCATTTTGAAGTCGCCCTCTCTCCATTGTGTCTGTAAATCTTCCTGAATTTCCCAATCCGCTGCAGGAGGAGGCGATTATCAGAAGTTAAAGTCTAAAAGTCTTCATCTGGAGGCTGGTGGGATCTGGTCTGTCTGGTTGCGCCCTAAGTGCAGCTCTGTCCTCAGCTCTGAGTCCACCCCAGTGTGAGTAAGATGCAAAGGGGTGGGATGGGAGCAGAATGAGGGGGGCTATCCTGTAGAGTGAATATTGAAATGTCCTGGCCTTCTAGAACCCCACTGAGTGAATTAAATGTCTTCATTTTTACGTCTTAAAAATTTGACATGTACAGAATTGATGGTATTGACTTCATTGATCTCTGACTTCCTTCTTTAATGAGAGGGAGGGAAGTTTTCTGCAGCTTCTTCTGTCTGAGGTTTAAATCTGTTTTGAGTCGTTTTGGTCGTTTTCTTCAAAAATATTTCTGATAATTACAGTCTGCTCAAATCTTTTGCTCTGAATTACGACTAAGAAAGCAATCAGTCAGCCGGCCCACAGCAGTGCCTAGTAACTGTGTCAGAATTTAAAACATAGAAAATGTTAATGCTAGTGTCTGTTTTAAATTATCACACTTTATAGCAACATTTAGCAGTAATAACCATGTTTGATCATAGTTTGATGACATTATAATGGGTTTTGGGGCTATCATAAATCTCACTTGGAACCCACTGAAAGAATTTTCCATGAAAGCCAACAATCCAACCATAAATGGTATCACAATATGATATTTTGGCAAATGATCACATGCTTCATAAGCCAAAGGTATGCCTGCTGCATTAAATTTTAAGAGCTACCAATTTATTGCTGCTGATTTATGGACCTTAGATGGTTTATAAAATAAGAAGGAATATGTTCATGCTGTATGTAACTATTGATCCACTTTAATAGGATGGTTTATTTAAAAAGCAAAAAAAATATATGAAGAAGAACATTTTAACATACTGCATCATGATGCATTCAGTGTCCACACACTAACCAAAAAGTGAGCATCACATGATTATTTCTCATGAAAAGAGTTATTTTAGAGGCTATCTGCTCAGTTTTTTACACTTCAGGCCATCCATATTCACTGAAGTCCTTCAGTACAAAGCAGTACAACACTTTTTGGATTTGTGGTTAGGGACTATGTCACAGTCACACCATGTCTTTGCCATGCTTGCCTTCTTCCACGCTTAATCAGAGTTTTCCCTTGACTTTTCCAGTAAGATTGAAGTTGACATAGAGTTTTGTCTCTGTGTGAATGGCACAGAGACAGGCCTACCGAGCCAGCGTATCGCTGGTATATTCGCTGTCATCTCGTGACGCACTGCAATAACTAATGCACTTCAACTCTGACCCAATGTCAATACCACAACAGCTCGTGTTCAAACACAAGGCATCTCACGGCCCCACAAGGGATTTATGTGGTGATCTGGTGTTTGAGGCGTAGAGGAAATTAATTATCCAGTATACTTGCCTGTATCAACATTTTCCCCTGTCAGAGCAAAGTTTAACTGGTCGACAACATCACCGAATAAAATGGGCCTTTCAGCAGTTATCAAAAGCAACTCACAGTTGCCTGCTATCTGCCGAGTTGTTTTTGGCCGGGCAGTTGTCGAACCCACAGCTGTGGTTTACCAGCTTCAAGAGGCTGAGCAAGTTGGAAGTGATTTAGTTGTGACTACAGCCAGTAAAATGTGTAGGCGGTGCGCCTGGTGTCGGCGGTGGGGGGAAGCTCATGTTGGCCGCTTCATACATGTGCTGGCGTACATAAGACGGGCAGAGACAGGCAGTAAAGACTAAAGAGGGATGGGAGGGTAAGGGGGACATACCTATCCCCACGGGGTGTGAGGAATTTGAACAAATACCTGGCACAGGCATGCCAAAACAGGGGAGAGAGCCATGGAAGCATGAGAAGCCCAGGCTCCCTCATACATAGAAATGAGCAGGTATAAAGGCTTATGGGTAGGAAATGAAGGGGGAGGAGACTGACTGTGAGGAGACCTTTTCACTCAAGTGACATTAGATATCAAATTGAATAGAGGGTGAGGGAAAGAGGGGAGCATGAAGTTTGAAACCACACATTTTTCAACTATTATTCCTAAATTTCACCATGCTAGCATGGAAGGAAAGGGGTAGGCGAAGGACGGGGCTGAGCTCTGTGCTGTTTATTTGTATTTGTCAGAGCACATCAATCTTAGCCAGTTGAGACACCCCATATAATCTCTAATTAAATTTACCTGAGCTATGGGTTTTGTTCTGTCGCTTTGACCCCAACTGGATGTGTTCCTTGCTGTTAATTAGCCTGCATCCATCTTGTATGCAAATACGGAAGATGATGTCTGAAGATGAGAGACTGAGAAAGAGACTCCTGTGGTGCTTGGATCCCTGAAAATGAAGCGTTCAGACAGAGGAATTGCACCGGCACTGTGCCCGCGTTTAAGCTTCTTTATGTTTTTTCTTCAGTGTAAGAGTGATTATTTTCCACTGGTGTAGTTCCTAATTTCCCCTTTATTTCTCCATGATATTTGATACTAATTAAAATAGTTTTTATCAAAGGTGTTCAATACACAGTGTGTTGTGTTTTTTATCATTTGAATTTGATTTAAATATTCAAACAATATCTAAATTCCTGTAGATTATTATGTTGACCTGCTTATTCATAATGTATATGAATTTTATGTCCTGGACTTCAAATTTAAACACAAAATTGCCGTTTTATGAACAGAAAAAGAGCCTTCAGAGAAGCATAGTCAGTTTCTTAACAATTACTGTGATAAACTTATTTAATTACTGCCGTTCTGTACTGTCTGTCATGTAAACCTTTATGTTATTCTTAGGTTTCAGAAAAGAATTGGATCAAACAGTCCCTGCCTGTGCTGCTGGGAGATCACGGGAGGCTGAGTGTGTAAAAACAAAATGGAGTTTGACGTCTGGCTCCGTCTTCATTATTCTTTGTCTACATTTATTTCTGCTGCGCCCACCCAAATGAAGAGGCTGTAACACATTCAATCAGCAGGCAGTCACAATATGACAAATACCCCCCATGTAAACTCTTAACAGCTCCCTAACCTTCCCCTGGCTGTCCTTGCTCTCTTCATTCATTTCATTAATTAGCTTAACTGTTTCTGAGCAGACTGACTGACAAACTGCCTGCTGCTGGTTGACCGTCCTCAGTATCGTAACCTTGATTAAATGGGCGGACATTTTTTGTGTGTGACAAATGTTTGCTGGAGCGGGCTGATTCACAACTTGTGATGAGTTATTGATCCTCCGCACCCACCACCCCCAGCCCTCCTGCCTGTGTGCGTTTGCAGTTACACATCAAATTTCTACTGTTACCTCGATACCCCAGCCAAGAGTTTGTCCTGTGGAAGCCAGAGAGCGCCCTCAGCGTGGGCTGAAGATCACCCTGCTTTGTAGCATTTAACACATCATTCACCTGAACCTCAACATGTGAATGGTTTCAATTTTCATTCAATTGATTGTTGAAGTTATTTCAAATGAAAAAAAATCTGTTTTTCTGGTACTTGAAGCACATATCATTTTTAAAATTGATACCAAATCAGCTCAAAAACTGTTTTTGTTATGTTTCTTTTTTCATATGCGACCCAAACAGATAGCATTCAGTTCCATAAATCACTCACTGATGTAGAAAAATAGAATAGCCGGTCTCATTCTAGAACTGGCATTATTTCATCTTTGTGCTGATTCGGCAGTATCTGGGACACAAAAGGTTGTGTTTGGTAGTTTTAGTGAGCGCAGCACAGCAGGTCTGCACCTCTGTGCCGGCCCCTGATGTCTGCAGAGGGCAGACAACACACACTGAACCAATATGTGGCTACCCCTAAAATCACGGAGCATTAGATTTGCATTTTGTGTGACCGTGATACAATCTGGAACTTGTTACCCGTTCGGCAGAGTTTGCTGCCTCATCTGCAGAAACCAGATCAGCCTTTTACTGGAACATGTGGAGCTTTAGCATGGAAGAAAGCGTCTGACCATCTGACAGGGAGCTGCTTTCTTTTACTGCTTTAGTGCCCTTTGCTGGCTTTTTGTGTTGACAGACTGGGAGATTACGGGTTAAAAAATGAAGATGAGAACAAAAAAAGTGCCACTGATAGTCTGCATGTGACTGTAAAACTTTAGTTTGATCGAACCCGCAGAAAACCAGATGTGGATGTTTGTTCTGTCTTAAACTCTTTTGTACTTGTTGTCTCTGTCAAGTCATAAAACACCTGAGTTGCAAAGTATCCTTTTACTCTTTTCACATCTGCTGATCTGACATCTTGGCTTGTAATTATGCCCTCAGAAACCATGTGTTCAGCCACTTGGTCAGTTTGCATCCTTCCAGCCTCATCAGTTAACCACCAATTTAGGATGGAAAACATCCTTTAAACTGCAGGTCCTCTGCTGGATGCATATATTGTTTTAATCTGCCCACTGGTGGCTTTAAATCAGTATTGCACCTCTGTGGGTCGTTTTCATTAAATAATGATATCTTATCTTTAGAATAAGAATGATTCTGCTCACTCAAAGCTTTTATTACCCAACTGTATCATATCTTGGTCCCTTGTGTACAATTCCCATTGTGTATTGCCAACGTGCTTGTAGTGTTAAATGTTTTTAGCAGCTTTCAGCTCTGGAGTCTCTGTGCTGTGCAAACTGTCCCCAATTTGGGTTAAGACACATTTTCTTCCCCAAAAAATTGCACTTAAAACCCTCCTTCTCAATAAAGCTCATAATTATGTGGCGGATGATTCCAAACCTCCCCAGCATATACACAGCATTTTCTATCTCTTGTCTTTGAATTGAAACGGCTATCATGTCGAGACATCTCTTTGTTTTTTAGTTATCTTTTAAACCTTCTTCTTTCTTTTTCTTCGTCATGAACCAAACCTGATATGGACATCTACTGGGAAGGCAATATATTAAGCTGAAATGACAGTTTTATTGAGCACTGTTTCTCATACTAGCACCCTGCTAAAGAGAATTTCCTTTATATTGTAAAAATCAAAGTCAAGCTAGCTGAATGTGAATTCCACAGTAATGTTGTATGTTAAATTAATCATAATAAAAGTTGGCTATGCCATAAGTGATGGAAGACAGTGGGAAAGTGGGCAAACAGTGGAAAAGTTTAGTGGTTGTGTCCCAAATGTTCATATTTTCCATTGTTAATATTAAGCTGGAAAAACCTGCCAACAGCAAATCAAAGGGGATGTGGTTTTTCATTCTTCTCAGGGGTGGCACTAATATTAATAATGAATAAGATTTAGTTTAATTATAGATTGGAAAGAAAATGCAGTAAGTTTTGCAGCTGCAATATAATCAGATTGAAATAAGAAATCTATACTCCTTAGACCTGCGTGAATAAAGCACATTGCTCCATGGCAGGAAACTTGCAGGGTCAATAATTACAGATCTGAAATGGTAAAATGATTTTAAAACAATCATACTACTAAACTGAATGTGAATATATTTTTCTGTACATTAAGCTTTTACACATGCCAAAAGAAAATTAAATTTCCTAAATTTTCAGGGCTCCGAAACCTAAACAAAAACAAAAGCCAGAGAAAGATCCCATTTACTCCTTCAGAGTACTGGGTTTTGGACTCCTTGACCAGTGCAGGGAATACTTAAATAGCTAGTGATTAACAATAAACTTTGCAATGGTTTTCTGTCTGATCCTTTGTCCAACCTCAATGGGCAAAAATAAAGCATGATTTTAAACTAGTAATCATGTATTGCTGTAATTGATAGGATAAAAAGGTGCTTTGTTGGATTTTTTTTTTCTAAACCTAATCTTTTTTTATTAACATTCAACTTCCTGAAACTCTTGACTTTCTGATCATTGCCTGACATCATCGGCCTCTCCAACGTCACCCTCCTCCTCCTCCCAGACAGTTTTCCACAAGTCAATCACACAGCCACAGCGTTTTTACACAAACACTTTTGTAATATAAAATGAGGCACCGTTACTGGCTGCATATGTGATACACATGCAAACGTTCATATTGGTGTGAACATGCCAGGGAGAATGTTTTTTCCACTGCACTAATATTCCTGTTGCAGTGTTGCACATGAGACTGACCACTGCTTCTTTACTGGTTGCTCTCAGTCATATGCAGCCTCACACCTTTATCTCACACCAGTGCCATCACAGACCTCTTCCTGGCCTTTTTGACTAAGGTTAACTAAGATGAATTGTTTGTGAAGACACATAAAATAAACTTTAGCTTCAGCTATTAAATCCACTCCTCTTGCTGTCTGTCTTCCCATAGATTCACTTCACTGATGCAGCCACAGTTACCAGTATTTTCTACCTGCTGTGTATGAAAGGAAAATCAACATTAATACTAATTAGATCCATATTTAATGAACAGTAATTTACTCGTTGATTTTTGTCGGCCGTAAAATGTTACCTAACATGACTGCAACAAAGCAGGGATTTTCTCAAAGTGTGAATTGAAAATGAACGAGTCTGCATTCCGCTACAAATTAAATCAAATAAAACATTGACTGAACTAAACCGCGAGACTTTACACGTGGGTTTATTACGTGAATTTGAATCTGATTGGATTTAAGGCTGGCGTGCCGGAGAGGCGCGCGCCAGCCTCTCAGTGGGAACATATAGCTCCGCAGCGGGCGCGCGCCCAGCCACGACCTGAGGGCTCGCGCACAGTCCACCAGTAGACAGGATCTCGTGCAGCGCAATTGCTCTTCTTCTAGTTCCTTTATTATTCTTTCCTATTATTTCTTATTCTTATTTTTTCCTTATATAGTTCAAATATACAGAATTGAAACAAACTGAATGTGCACTGGGTTAAAGCGAAGGACATCTGAAGTGATGGTAAGTAGGCAGCTTCATTTCTCTGCTCAGGGAGTTATTAAAGCACCATTTGCTGTTATCATTATTCATATTAGTATTATTATGCAGGTTTGTTGTCTGTAACTTTAGGTTAATTCGAAAAGCAGATTGATATTTAGTGCATCCCTCTGAGAGGCATCAGGGATTTTAAATTTGGGGTAAACACTCTTTAACCACTGTTCTCTGCTTATGGATGATTTTATATGAGACTTGAAAATATGATATTTTTCCGAGTTTGAAACCAGAATTTTTGAAGCAGTTAGTTACAGTCCTGTCCCTCTCTTGGACTAAAATCATGCCTACAATATATATTGTTTTAAGAGGTTTTAAAGTCATATGTGCAAAAAAAGTTGGACATTTTTCCCCTTGATGTGGTCTGCTGTGTAGGACTGGAGGACGTAGTAAAGGCAAAGAGAGGTCTTTACTTTACAATGTGACAGGGAGAGCTCAACAGATAAGATGACCAGAGAGCTTGGCTTCTCTGCTGATTTAGGCTTTAATCCGTTTTTTTTATTTATGAGGTTTTGTGACCTAATAGAAGACGTGATTTGAGATGAATTTTAGAATGATGTAATGCTTCTCCACAGGATGCCACAAGGTCTGAATGTACTTTCCCCGTTTTATTTGTACACTCGATGCATTTGTGTGTGTGCTGACAGCACTGATGGGCAAAACAACTATCGATCAAGTTTTTTGGCATGGCTTAGCATTTTTCAGGGAGACAAACAGAGAATAAGAAAGTGGAAAAGAAGGATGCTGACAGTTGTTTGTTTTTTCCCAGGAGGCTTTATCTTTATCTTGCTCATTTTTGCTATACTGAGCAAGTTTAAGTTTGCTTATTGTGTTACTATTTTTATTCGAAAGTCAAAAAATTTTATTAAAGCAAATTTGCTGTTGATTTAAAGGTTTTGCACACAAAGTGGCTAATAAAGAAGCACAAACTAAAGTAAAAAAAACTGAGTTGTAAAACATGATTAATAAAGATAATGAGAGATTAAAGTTTTTTTTATTTAAACCTAAAAACTACTCTAACTTTGGTAATTTCATATAGTGATATATTGAAATGTCAAAATCATGATATCATTCCTCTTATTTAAGGTTGGTAACCACATAAAGCTTAAATTCATGCCCCATTTTGCCTGTAATCTCTCAATTCCATATTTAATCTTTGAAGCCACCGTATGATGTAGAGACCTGCTTATTTCTTTTGCCATTGAATCCTTTTTTAATTTAGGATATTCAGAAGTTGTGGGCTGAATGTGTGTTGTGTTGTAACAGTCTGACCCTCCAGCAGCAGAGAGCTGTCTCCTTTACCTTTACTGCTTTTGTTTATCAGGATATTACTCACATAATATTATATTTATTGATGTACTCCTCACGCATGTGTGTGTCACACGTTTTTATAGGATAACACGGCTGTTTTGTTACATGCTTTTTAAACCAAACCTGACGTCCCAACTTTTCCAATCTGTCAAATGAAACTCTGAAAATAAGAATTTCATGCAGGAATCGTACAGCCCGGTGTAACTAAACGGATGGTCCAACACTTTCAGTCTGAGAAATTTTCTTAATTAGAAAAGGGTCATGTGGAGTGTTAACCAGCACGTTGCAACTGCACAGTCTTAACTCCACAGATTAACGTTTGGTTGTCATCACAGAATGACCTTTATCTCTGCACGCAGCCGAAGTGGCACCGCAGCAGAAAAGTTTTAATTAGACAGAACAGGGCCTGGTGCCAGGATGCTGCCACTCTCGTGCTGTCGTCTTATTGCCATATGTGATGTCGTCATCGGTGTTTGTGTGTGTGTGTGTGTGTGTATGTTGTTATGTGCATGATTTCCATCAGGAAATAACAAAGTTCCTCGTCTTACATGGTTTGTAAAAAAAAAAGAAAAGTCAATGCCTACTGCAGTTTAGACACAAAGTGTCGGGAACTGATTTTCTTAAGAGAGAGGAAGTAATTCAGTGATACCATCATGATAGACACATGAAAACATCTAAAGGGGTCCTTGCACTGGGCGTGAGAATACCCTGTTGTTTGTGTCTCACCGTGACCCTGAATGGGATGAAGCAGGTACAGACAAAGGATGACATTTACAGATTTAATGACAATGTGGGATGAAAAAGAGGGATGGCTCGAGACATTTCAAGTTCGACTGTAATTTGTAGGTTCTGACACAAGATTACAATGTAAATGAAAACTATCAATGGAGAATTCTGCTTCGTAGATCTTGAATCTTTTTTTAACCAAACTTTCTGAACCAAACAATGTTCTACTTTGGCATTATTTCACCGCCTACTCTGTTTTGATTTGACATCAGCCGCTGTCCGTCGCCCTGATGCTGCTGCAGTCAGCTGTAGCAACATGAGAACTCTCTGGATCAGAACAAGAAAACCTATTTGATATTTTCAGACTCTGCTTTTGGAAGCATCTACAAAAGCTTTACGCAGAACAGGATTAATATCTGCCCCACGAAGAGACGTTGAATAGATTAACCAAGCAAAGAATAACAGAGATGGGGAGAGATGGCTTTTACTGTGAGCCATGTGACAGAGAGGTAGAGACCTAGTATGTGCCCTGGTTTTTGACCTCAGCCGATCAATATTGATTGTCCCCATGCGTTCATAGTGGCTTCAGTGTTCTGTGTGGTGCTGGCATGCACACTGCTGGTAAAAACTCCCATTCATCAACTTATTGATGATGACGAAACACTTCACAGAACAAATTTGGCTGTCGGATATCTACTTTGCTTATTGTTCGTGGTTGTAGCTCAGTATGGGGAGCAGGCTGGGAATCTGTATGTCAGTGATTTGAAACCTCACTCACAGGGACACGTGTCTGTGTTCAAGACACTCAACTCCGACTCAATCACCTTAATTGTCCATTTGCGCGTGAACGTGAGGGAAAAGGAAGAAAACCTGTGGAGCCTATCACAGGAATAGACATGCTGTATAAGGGTGAATGGGTGAGAGTGGTTTGTTTTGTAAGAGGGATTTGAATGGTTAACTAGATTAGTAAGGTTTTGGATAGTATAGTACTGTGCAAATACCATAAAAGGAAAAAATGTGATGGGTCACTCATGTGACATAAGAACAGTGACGGTACAGAATACAGCTTATTCAGTGCTGTTTTCAATTACTCTCAAATGATATTTTCAGAGACTCTAATCTCCCCATATAACACCTTAATATGATCAGATAATCTGGGCAGAGAGAGTTCAAGGGATGTGTCCCAGTGGGAGAGAATATACAGTGCGACACCCGGTGTGAAATAGATTAGAATGCAATCAATAAAGCAACTATATTGCATTACCAAATTATTTGATTATGTAAGAGAGAGCAAGTTGTAATACACTAAGATTCAAATAACTATGTCTAAGTTTAAGTAACTAGTCATAGTCTATCTTTGCCGAACTTTCCATTTCTAGATGCAAAAATGCTGCAGATTTTTCTTCACATCTATATCTCTTGCTGTGCCAATCATAACGTTCCACCTCATTGTTTTCACTCATGTGTGCACCTTCTCTGCCGGGATTTTGCGCAACCAAGTCTATAAGTAATAACATATGGCTGTCACAAGGGGACAGTCCAAAAGCGTTTTTAACAAGCTTACCTGTGGGTTGCTCTTGGTTGTATTGGTGTTGTTGTTGGTCCCTCAATTCAGCTCTGCTGAAGGCTAAATTCTTGTCATTTGTGATGGACAGAGACTTTTTTTAATGCAGAGATCATCTGTAATCCAACTGTAATCATTTGCTCCGTAATGTTTTTTGTCTTCATTTTCATGATGGCTCAGGTAGAAGCTTTGGATCTATGTATGGCATTACCTCAGAGGGATATGTACTGTTTGGTTTTTGAAAACTACCGACAGGACAAGCTGCTCTAAAACAATTTCCCCAAAATGTAACTTTTTGGGGGCTTAGAGTTAAAAACTGTAAATTTTTTGCTACTGTAAATGCTCCCTTAGACATCTCTGTACATGACAGAGGGATGTTTACTGTTAGTATGGTCACTGATGTGTTTAATAGTTTCATAGGGCCCTGAAAGATGGTTTCTAAATTTGAAAATCACATTTATCAGTTTACAATTTCAAAGAACACTTTATTAATGTATTTGTCAGTTATGGTCAGTTTTTCTAAATTGTTTTCTGTATACAAAAAAATCTCAGCAGGCCATACTGAAAACGAATACGTCATCTTGAAATAACCGCATAGGCTCAGGAACACTTCTACAAAATGTTGTCCCATTTTTGTCCAACACAATTTGTTTCTTCATGAACAAAAACAATTATAATCTCCATCATGCAAAGACAAAATTGTTTGTATCTAAGCTCCAGAGCTTATGGAAGATGGACTCGGTTGGAATGGATGACTGCCCTGTGACAAATAAGAAATGTGGGACTCTTTCGAAAACACTGAAGCTTCATTCTCTGGGATAAAGCGAACAGGGATCATCCAGCTTGTATCAACGCTGTATGAAAAAAATCATGTGTCATGGTCTGTGGGTGCCTTATTGGTTGCTGCCATGGTGTGAGGGACATGTGCAATTCTTAAGATAACATTAAAGGTCAAGTGTTTTTCATTTAAGGTCACACTCATTTGGGCAAAGACAATACAAAACCACATTCGTATTTTTATTGTGTTGGTAATGAAAGAACACCCCTACTGTTCTGATATGTGACCCACTAAACACATTTGGCTCACGATGGAGCACAAAGTAAAACAATGGAGGCCCAAACTGTACAGCTAGAATTTCATATCAATTACATGTCCAAAGTCGCTGTTAAAGCACTTAAACATTTCACAAAGATATTCACCGTACTTTCTATAAATAAATGGGTTTAAATGCCCCCAAATTATTTTAGAATTTACATGTCGCTGTGTTTGCACACATCATGAGGAGAGAGCTCACAGATTCCTTCTTTTGAAAGGCTTAAATAGTTGTAGCTTCACCTCTAAACTTCTAATTCAGACTTTTATTAGGTTGATACAATGTACTCCATTTAGAAAATCATTTTCAGTGGAAAAATTATCTGTAATGCTATGATAAAGAATCAAGAAGATCGTGCACATCTGAAACCGATTACACACATAAAGCATAAAATGTAATTTACTTTTATTTAGCTCTTTGATTCTAACCCAGTTTGATTTCGGTCTACATAATGCACTATTCCCTCTCTCTCTGTACCCATTATTAGCCTGGGCCTGTCTCCCTGCCTTCCTCATATAAGGCAAGACCTCCCATGAACAAATCCCCCCCGTCCGCTCCCATGAATGTTCTTTTCTGAAGAGTCATTTGAGATATTTGCCACCTCAACACGATAAGGTGTGGCAACAAAAATTACCCGTGCACTCTTATGTTGTCTCTACATGCATACACAAACACACACGTAATCTTCCCTGATCACCTTCTCCAGTTCCACTTGTCACTTGTCCAACAATAAATCAGACGAGTAACAGAAAGCAGACCTGAGAGCTTGTTCATTTGGTCGTGAGCTGGCAGGCATCAAAGTCACGTGTTGGTTCATTAACTGAGTAACACCAACCTTTGCCTCATATGATGGTTAAAAGTTTGCTCAAAACCGTGTCGTACACAATCAGATATACCTGATAATGGACAGAACTTTACACAACAATCTTTCTGACTTATTGCACGGTAATAAATGATGAATATTAAAAATTATTTCTGTATTATTTCTGTAGACATACACAAATGTATCTCCAAATAAATACTTTAATCAAACTTTTTTTTTTTTTTCAACTCTCAGATTATCCTCGGGCTTGCTTTCTCATGCATTCAACCATCTGTTAAAACATCTTTACAGCTTTTTTAAACTAATTCAATAAATCAACTCACTGAAAAAGTTTTTTCCTACCCTTACCCAAATGAAAGTCCAATTTATCTCCAAGAATCTGAATGAAATATTCTTATAAAATGGAGATGTGTGTCTTTTGACAGTCACAAAACAGTATGAAAACAGTGGCCCTACCCAGTCAGCTCAATTTCAAGATTTCATTGGTTTCAGGTTTTAGTAGTTTCAGGTTTCTACTGGAGCTTGTATACCAGCATACTCAGCAATGACTAATGGCAACAAATGTCATACTTTTGATTTCGACCATATAATATGATTAAAAATATGCTCAAAGTGGAGATATTTTCATGAAGCTATTGAAAGACTACTTCTATTCAGTGACATTTGATTTGAATTGAATAAAATGCTTTATAGATAAACTTGACAATTGCATTGTCAAACATGAATAGCTGTAAATGATTCACTATTACTAATTTGTGCATTAGTATTGATCAGTGATCATTTCTTTGTGGGGTGATAGATTGATAGATTCCATGACTTATTATTCTATATTTGTCTCAAAGCTACTCTAAACCCTGTGCATGCCATGATATACTATATCTGAGTTTACTTCCTTCTTCAATAATAGTTGTGCAAGTCCTCTAAGGATTAGCAAAGATTACCAGAATCATGGGTGCAGCTTTAATCCACTGCATTTCACCACAGTCGCAGCAAAACGTACTTCCTATTCTTCTCCAACCAGCAAAGAGTTCCAGTTTATCCCAGTCCTTCGTCTGGAACCACTGTCTCCTTCTCAGTTTATGACCCGGAACTCAACATGTGTTCTCATCTGATCCATTGTCTTTAATCTTCTCAGGATCCAAGAGTAATTATCACATACCACCTGGTATGAAGCCCGAAAAGGGTGCCCTACCTCGTACAACTGACATTTATCGGCATCAACATCATCAACGTCATCATAGTGTGACTCGTGTGTGTGTGTGTGTGTGTGTGTGTGTGTGTGTGTGTGTGTGTGTG